GCGTGCATGCCGCTCCCATCCCTCGGAGACGAAAATGGGATCCACGCACGGCCCTTCGAACGAACGCCGTGCACGACGCACGATGTGCACGACGCTCCCGTCGGAAACGGAGGGACGCCCTCCGTTTCCGATCCCGTGATGCACGTGCGAAAAAGTGGCGCTCGGCCGGGGCTCCGGTGGAGTTGCCGTCCGTCTCCAGAAACTCCGGAACGGGATCGTCGGCGGGAACTCGAGAGGCGGTCGCCCCCCGCCTTCCTCTCGGCTTCCCGTCGCGGATCGCATCGGGATCGGAAGTGAACACCGTTTTTCTCTTTGCGTCCCGTACAGTGATGCCCGTGGAGATGATCACCCCGATGCGACTAGCGCAATGAACGGCCGGGTCCTTCCACGCCTCGCCGACGGCGGAGGATTTCGAGCAACGTCCTCTCTCCTTCTCCCGAAGTCTCCTTTTTCCCTTCCCTTTTCTTTTTTTTTTAAGTTCCTTTCCCGGGACGGAGAACAACAAAATCCAGACCAGTCTTCCCTTCTTCCTTCCGCTATCCGTCTCTCTTTTCTTCTTTCCCTCCTGTCCTTTTTTTTTCGAGTCGATTGCACAGAGTGAAAGCGGAGAAGAGCCTTCTGCAACCGAGGTGCCAAAAGAGAGTGATATCCGTTTTTCTTTTTTTTTTGTAAATAAGGGCCGATGATATCGTCGATTGTTTTCTCTTGCTCCATCGTCGATTGCAATAGGAGAATAAAACGCTGGTGGAGGAGAAACACCTTCGGTCTAATTGTTCGGGGCGAACCGTCCTCGTCTTCCGTCTTTCGATGTCTACCCTTTCCAGGGGTTAAAATAGTCCCTTTTTCGTTCGTAGCTGCAACACGCGCGTTAAAGTTACGCAATGTAACGATTAAGTTACGCCGTTTTTTCTCGTCTTAGAAAACATGAGGGTAAAAAAAAAAGCAGTCTAATTTTTTTTTCTCTGCGAGCTGTCAATTAGATTTTACAGATTTTTGCCGGTTTCACCGAATCGGACGGCTTTAGGCGCAAGGCCGCCCTCGCGAGAAATCGTGGAAATCGTCCCGCAACCGATCGATGCGGACTCAAACGACTGGATCCAAGAGAGAGAAAGGGCCCATCGCATCCTTCCCTGCATCCACGCGATCGAGTACGAATCCTGAAAATCCCTTTCCCGGTTTCCGGCCCGGATGCTCCCGGTGGGACGAGTGGAGTGGGAACGGAACGGAACGGGAACGGGGGATGGATGATCATAGACTCTGCCGTTTCTTCGCTTCGGTTCCGAGAGCCGTCGAGTCCCGACCCGCATCTTCGTCGGTTACACGGAGCCGCTGTAGACCGAGACCGATGGGGTGGGACCCTTGGTCGTGGATCGAAACCGAGTGGATGGGAGACCGAGGAAGAGAGCCGTGAAGAGCACGGACGACCGAACGAAAACTAATTTCCACTCGATTTGGAGTAGCAGGTGGGAAGGAATCACGTCCTTTTCCGGTGATGCAGCATTGGACGTTCTGCAGCGAAAGTTAAGGGGCAGGGGGATGGGGCTAGGCTGATTCCTGTCGACCGCAGAGATCCTCGAAGAGAACCGGACGACTTCTCGGCAGACTCTCTCGCGGAAGGATCGCGATCGCCGTCGTTTCTTCCATCCGAGCCGGAGACGGGCGGATTCGAGGAGGATCGTGTCGGGACCGCCACGAGAGGCGAAGGATCGCGAACCTCGAGAACAGACGAGGGGACGTTCCAACCACGATGCTCCCACGCTGTAAATATTTTTCGGAAACTTCCACTCGTTAGACGGAAAGTTTTTCGGCCAAGAGATGAAAAGTAAGAATGACATTCGTTCTCGGAATATTCCCTTCCCTGACTAAGTGGAGCGAAGGGAAGAAAATTCGCACTTCGAGGTGAAAACTACAAAGAAAGGAATCTGCCTAGTCCACTGAATGTTGGGAAATTTCGGATGAAACTACTCTTAACTGTTGAGAAAACCGGCTTTGGGTCCGATGGAGACTTGTCCCATTCACTGACAGGCAAAAGAAAATGATTTCGATTTCCCTTCCTCTTAAATGGACGGAGAAAGAACGTCCACCGTTTTTCTAGAATCATCCTATTTTATTAGTAAATTTCTACATTTTTACTGCTTATGTGTGAATGTATACATATATTTCTCTCGTGCAGTCATAAATTTTAGCTCCTACTACTCCTGAAATTTTATCCTATTGTTGTTTAATAGAGCCAACGATTGCGGAGTCGCGATGCAGTGTTTACAGGGTGGAGCAAAAGTCAAGGAACATAAGGAAATTCATTTTCAACGTGATTTCTTGATGGCAGCACATTTCCGTATTTCTTTTTCGTTAATTTTGGCATATAATAGCCATAATTTGACCGGCGACGTTTGCGAGTGATTTTTGACTGATTGTCGTGAAATAACCTAACTATGGTGTATTAAACCGAAAAACGAATGGAGTCGGTGACGATTTTCGCAAAAATAGATAATAGTTTTCGGCGAACTAGTATGATTACCGTGAAAGACACCAAAAAAGGCCAAGACTGTCGATCTACTGCATGTCGGACTTGATAGCAAAATTCTGCGCAACCGGCAGAGTTGGGGCTCGATGCAAAAAAAAAAAAAAAAAAAGAAATGGGCGCAATAGGAGAAGCCGACCAAACAGCACTTCTGGCCCTAGTGTCCATATAGCCGCAACAATCAACGCAAAAGATGTTGAGAGCTGTGGTCATTAGTGAAAGGTTAGACAGAAAGGAAAAATTAAATTCCCCCAAAACTGCAATTTCCTCTGATTTTTGCCCCACCCTTTATGTTACAGGCAGAGTATAAAATTCAGAGTATCATTTTATACTCTGCCCGTAGCATATGTATCTGGGGCGTACTGTAACGACCTAGCAAATGAAGGCTGGACATTCTACCGCGTCCACAAGGCTCCACTGCCATCCGGACGGCATTCACCCCATGCCCATGCCCATCGTGCCCATGCCCCACCGCCTCGGAGCAAGCTGGGGGAGCGAAGGTGTCCCTTTTTTTTCCATTGCAGGGACTAATATTCCGGTTTTTCCTGAACAAATCTGGTCACCCTACTGTATCGCACATCTCCAAATGTCCCATATGTCACTCTACAATTTAAAAAAAATCGCATTTACTGAACAGTTGACTCAAAAATGAAGGAATTGACTAATTGAACAGTTGACTCAAAAATGAATGAATGAATTAACTGAACGATAGCCTGTCATTTGGAATTATCCTTGTAAATATTGGAGGTATTTAGAAAGTGCATCAGAATGCCCTCCGCCTGCATCAATACATTTGGCATGAGGCTCGGCACCGAAAGATCGCCGCACCTCCCTTTCAGCTCTGAAAGGGACTCTCACAGACCAGGTGGAAATTTCGTCGCTCCAGCGTCAATTGCGAAGTCTTTTCTCGTGACAGCGAAAACAAATTAAATAATTTTTTTTATATATCTCTGAAGTCTATTTGAAATTAGGAGGGAAAAAAACATGAATTTTAGCGATTTTGTAAAAGAGGATTCAACATGATGTACCAAAGATGTCACAAAAAAAGTACACCTTTTTAACATGCACTTGAAGCAATTCCCGCTTGAGTCTGATTCCAAGTCATTACCATGAGAAAAATTCTAGAGAACGTTCTTTCCATCAATAATAGCAACAGTGACCTGCTTCTTGCAGAATGGAAAACATTCCAGTCTGGAATGGAATATGGACTTAGGTGACTACCTGTTTTTCATAGGCTAACGTTACGTGTTTTCAAGCGTTTCTCATGGGTTCGGGCCTTCCCATGGTTCAAGCTACATCTAAGCCAATGATAGGCTTACCTTTTACGAGTGAAAACTTTTACAGTGTTTTTCACTTGAATTGGACAACTTTTCATTTGACTCGGACTTACGTGGGACGTTACTCATGCATGAGTGTCGAAGTCAAGTGAAAAAGTGTCTGACTCGAGTGAAAACACTGTATTTTGTGGATACAGGCTCAGTCCTACGTTCATTCCTTTTCAACATGACATGATACAGACATGGAAATAAGAAAAATAAAAGCTTTTCTTGAAACAATTTTTTTAATCAATAAAAATTGCTCAAAAATATAGTTCGAGCAAAACTCGTAAAAAAAAATTAGAAAATAGGTCACGATGTGGTAAGAAACGACTGGAACTCTGAAACCATGACTAAAAAATTATTGCGATTCGTTTTGCTCTGACAAGTTACGACGAAAGCAAAAATTATGGCTTCCCAAACTTACAAAAATTTAATTTAAAATTCTGATGGGTCGTCGAAAACATCATTGATGCACTCACCACTCTAGTTCAATTATTTTTCTCTCCAACTTGCTCGCTGCCGAGTGGCAGGTAGCCACCACAGTCCGTGCCCATTCTTTACTGTTTTTCCTCGTCCTGCCTTGCGAGACGATCGACGATTCATCGTTGCATCGTGATGTTCGATCCGTGTTGCTCGAGACACTCGGCTGTATGTATTCCCTCACCGATGCTCGGCGGCGTTGATCCATCGTTCGAGCGAGGCAACGACACGATTTTGGGCCTCGCATGGTTGTGAGTAACTAGGCGAGCTGCTCAGCGACACCTGTCCTATGAGTATGCAACTAGCCGCCTCCTCGGAGGTTCCACAGAGTTAACGCGGTTGATGTTAACGTTGGTGCAAATTTAGTAGCAAATCGTTGTGGTGGATAGTAAAGGTAAATTAGCTCCGGGATGTAGTGCATGCACATGACTCTAACCTTGTTGCTGCCTGCACATCGTACACGAGCCCAGGAAATGAACTGTAGGGCGTGGCATAAGACCTGTCTTAGAGGGAATACATTTATTTTTCACGCTGGAGTGTATTGATAATGTTTTTGAAATTCTCGAAGTGGAGTGCTACGCACGAAAGCCTGGCTTTGTTAAAAAAAAATAAAAATAAAGGTGAAACGTTTTTGGGGATTGAGGGTTTCCAGACGGGCATCGCTGGTGAGTCCCATTAATCAGCTCAAAAATCGAAGACGCCCATTCTCTGGAAGAGGAAAGATGCTGGACAGAGGAACGCCTGGTTTGTTGTCAAGCTCATCTTGAAACTTGGAAGCTTCGTTCACTGGGCCAATAACAATCATTCAAGCTCATCCAAGATGCGATTTCGCTGGGTGGGTTTCTGCGTGAACGTTGATGCCTTGATCAGTGACGTTGGATGCTGGTGCACTCGTGCCAGTCCTTGGCGTTCGGCGTAACGTTAGGCCTTTCGAGGCCTAGCCTAGAACTTACGCCTCCGAGGAGGCCTGAGACAGCCTGGAATTCGTGACAAACCTTCACCTTCGAACGGCCGAGCGTTATACTGGACGTCATTTTTGGCGCAACGCTCCCATTTATGTCACTTGGCTCTTTCTTTCCGCAGGCTAGTTGGTGGATATGTCCCTGATGGCAGCCTAGCCATTGGATCGTTTATTCAACCTGGAGCCTTCAGCATTCTCATGGCGTGATTTTTTCGGGGGGAACATTCCAAAAAAATTTTTTCTCCAATCAGCAATTCTGCACATCAACCTGCTTGAGTCTAAGTAGATACCCATTCCATCACAAGCCACAAGACGATTAATAGGTTGTGCACTTTATTGTGACACCCTTGCATCTCATGAATCTCTCTTTTCAAGACTGAATCAGTCAGTTGGTCACTTCAGTTGCATATCAATCTTTCTTGGTCTGAATGTCTAGTTTGATCAAGTGGACATGGTAGGAGCCAGGATCTACCCAACAGTCATGGTTGATGTAATGCAGACTTGAAATTTGCTCCATAGAATTTCATATTCTCTTGGTAGACCTGTGGGCCTAAAGCTAAGGCCCAAGCATCAGTCCTTCACGACCTCCTGGCTGAAAAGTTAACCTGCACACTCATATATACGTTGCAAAGGAACTGGTTTTCCTTAATCACCTAAAGAAACAAAAGGTGAAAAGAATCTAACTCACAAGTCAAGATGTCCAAGAGATATGTAGCCGAGGCATCAGACGGTGGACCAGCTCCAAAGCGTATTCAGCTGGAACAAGTCAACTTGGGACCAATTGGAACTTTAACAGAGATGGAGACCAAGACTTTGATATTTCAAAACAAAAAGTTGGCCCAGGTGAGTGTTAAATGGCATTTACTTATGGGAATGCTATGAATTTGGTGTTTAGATATCAGGTTATATAGTTAGACCTACAACTATTCAGATTGCTGTGATTCCCTTTGGGACCAAGTCTTTTCCTTTCCATAGTCCATCCTGTTATGATGATGGGAGAAGATATGGCAAGGACTATCTGCTATTAAGGATGTGTGACTTAACTCAAGAAAAGTTATTCTTTTCCTATTGGGAAAGATTCAGAATAGCGTTATAGTTTCATTTACTTATATTATGCATGTGTGGGTTTATTTCCATTGCTACATGCTCTGGAGTAGTTACTATAAACCAACTGTTACTTAATTTTATTAACTAAAAAAAAAAATTATGTTACCCAGTCTGCAGCAGTTCAAATATAGAACTTTAGACCATTTCATAGTATTTTGTGGCATTTACCCCACCTGCCCTTATTCAATCCTCTAGACTTTGTAAAGGTTGATGGTGATAACCAGACAGCTGAACCAATCCTTTTAAGTATGCTTGCCTTTGAGCCCTTAGCAGAAGCAAGGTGATGGTTGCATTTCTCCTATTTTTTTTCTTGGCTAATGGATTGTACATCTTGATACCTTAGCACAGGGACAAAGCTTGCATCATTCCCTGCTGTTTCTAGTTATGTCTAATAACTAAGTTCTAAGTCATGGCTGAATCGCATTGTAGAAAGATCAAATACTGTTGAAGACTTCATCCCATGGCAGTCCATGTTTCCATAGAAGCTTTCAATGATATGAAGGGGTTGCTCATTATTAGATACAGTATCCAGATATGCCTATATTGTTGACAGGCTAAAATAAAACCATAGATGAAGCCTAGGCTCACAACCTTGGCATTTGGTATTAATTTAGAAACGGCAATTTTGTTATAACCTAATTGGAAGTTCTACTCATGGTTTTCATGATCAAGCATCCTTGTGAGGACATAAACAATTTATTAAATAGAAAATATTTCTGAAACGAATGTAGGAAAGAGAAATCGATTGATTGTATTGGCCAAAACAGGTCATCAGAAATTCCCAATTTTTGTGACTGAAATATAATTGAATGATGCTCGCCTGCCCATTAAGGGGAAGGTGAGCATTCTTCTTACTTCTCATCTTCTTTAAAGATAAAGTTACATGGTTGCTCTTTTGTTAGGTCATCAGAAATAGTATATTTTTTTTTACATTTGTGTTGGTCTGCCTTGCCATATTCCCATATATCTTTACAAATATGTCATTGTGGCAGTCTTTATGACAGCCATTTTACTCTTGTATTGGCTTTCACAGTGAATGCTTTCTTGATGGGCTGACCCTACTACATTAGTCCCTACTCTGTTATATATTTCTTTAGTGGCCATAGCGTGTCTGGTCAGTAGTTACCCTAGATGAGTTTGCTAAAATTGTAAATTCATAGATTTACTTTCCTTTCAGACAGTATGGACTTTTTTTTGTCAACTGTGTGATGTAGCATTTTATCTTGCAAAATTGCAGGAAATTGATTTGTCTCTATGTTGATGGCAGCGCTTGGAGCAGCAGGGAAGGACTGAGAGGGGATTGAAGCAACGTATTGAAGAACTAGAGAAGCGGCAGATGCAGGATGATGCACTTCTCAATGTGGTCAACCGCTACTGGAATCAGCTGAACGAGGACATCCGTGTCCTACTTCTTCGCTTTGATTCTGGTTACAAGGACACTGAAGATGAGGACAAGAGTAAGGGTTGTGACTGATACACCTTGTTTTGTTTGGAGCAGATAGGTTGTGTCAGATTGGATGTCAGCTTTGATTATGGCCTGGTCCTATTGGTGGGCACAACATAACAAACTCTTGAAAGCAAATTAAACAAAAGACCTCATTCATTCTCAGGGGCTCTTTAATGTAACATTGATGAACATAAGATGATGAACCTCATCCCAGAAATTGCTTTAGTTTCATCCCAATAGAACTACTTGTGCTGATGTTCTTCCATATGTGAATACAAGGAGTAGTAGATGAGATCTTGCTCTGGGTCTTGGTAGAGCTTGGTAGGTTTCCTTGAGTTCATAAGGCTGGTGCTAGACTAGTCTTGCAATTGCTGGATGTCTTACTTTCTGGTATCAGGTATAGTATATGGAATAGCTGCCAGCAGGTATGAATACCCATGCAACTTTGTTTCCACTTTAGTTGAACTCAAGGAACTGCTTTGAGTTCTCATTGTGCAGCCTTGCACTTTGCCAATGACCAGTACTCCCATTATTGGTTACTGGCAAAGTACCAGTACATTCCTGTATTCTTTCCCTCCCCTTAATTATTCATTTTGCTAAATCTAATCAATAGCAGGAAGATTTAACCTTACAAGCAGCCTGCAACCACTATGTTGACCATTAATAAATTAAAAGTGTACTGTTTTTATAGCCTAGCCTGTGGCCCAGAATGGCAGAGCCTTGTAGGCCTGGCACTTTAGGTCGTGGATGGCTTGGCATATGGTGTGGAATGGCATACCATTGTAGGCCTCATGTGCTAGGGGTGATAGCTGCCACAACTTTTGGCCTCTTTCAATTTAAGTATTAGGTTGATGTATGGAGATACAGATGTTTTGAAATACTTCAAAAGCAATCAATACCATTACTTTTGTGCATGTACTTTCTAGTACTGCCTTTACTGGTTCAGAACATGACTTGACTTGGGCATGGTTGAGATAATATAAGAAACGCTTAGTATTTTTGTTATTGTAAGCAACATTTTGTTCATATTGGTTCCCTCAGAATTTGATATCGGTATTACAATGATGGGGATTGCTCTTTAGCAACAGTCCCTGCAGAAAATCCTTCTCATGGTCTAGCCCTTTGAAGTGTAGCGGTTGAAGTACTGAAAGACTCCCTCCCAGTACAACATGAGCTCATAGAGAACTAATTTGTTGGAATCACTTTGCTAGTATATGCTTTGAGGTGAACTTCATGTCAAGGATTTTCATTCATCTTCTGCTCTTCAACATCAAAGAGCACAAATTGAAATCCATGATTTAATTTGAAAAAGTATTACATTTGTACAAAATCATGTACCTCTCTGATCATATTATCCCCAAGTATTCTGTTTGTTAATGGAGAACTTCCTTGTGGGAAATGATGTAATCTCATCCCCACAGAAATAGATTTTCAATTGTTGAGTGTGGGAGCTTTATGTTTGGGATCCATGATGACCTGCAGAAGTATGGCTCTTGCTCATGACCCAGTTGCCTTGGATATTGGATATTGATAAGATCACATTCCTTGATGTTATGGACACAACTGAGAGCATCTTGTAGCAGGAAGGTTATGTAGTTTCTAACAAAAGCTGAATTTTATCTGCAAGTGTAGGACTTTCCCTACTTTTTCCTGCAATGGGTGTATGTATAATACAAATCTATGTGTTTTCTGTGCTGCTTTTTTTATCGCAGAACTTGAAGGCAACTCACATTATATGAAGTTGGTGGAAATGAGTTATTCAAATTCACATTCCTTTTTTGGAAGCCAGCATAATTTAATAAACATTTCTCTCACATCTGTTTTTGGTGACTGGTAGTGATGTTTGTTTCCAATGAGAATAGTGTAATACTATCAGGCATTTTTAGTGCCTTGAAATAATATAATTTTTTTTTTATAGGTGAACCAGAGGGACCAGCATCATCATTCCTGGCCCAGCTTGCATCATTAGATTCTCTGGAATTGGATTCAAAGTTGAGCAATCGTGTACAAACGTCTCGGCATGCTGTGGCTCGGATCCTGGAGGCCTTTGAGAATCTCCTTGAGAGACAGGATAAATTGGCCTCTGGCCTGTCCCAGGTCAAAGAGGAGAAAGGTCTGTATCCTATACTTCATCTATGGAATCTCTTCATGTTTTCACTGACCTGGGAGGTGATAAGGGAATTTATTCCAGTTTCTTTGACGCTATACAAATGAAAAATAATTGCACCAACTGATGTCATTAAACAGAGGTTCCAAACACATTTTAAGCTGTGGCTGTATAAGTGGTTGTCATAAATAGTTGAAATCCTTCTGGTAATAAATTATAATAAAAAAGTGTAAATAGACATGGATTATGTCATATTTATGGCAGGTGGGATGGTGAATGGGAGCTTTCTGCTTCATTGGGCAAAGCTTGTCATTTTGAAGGAATATGCTGGAAATACCTATCAATTAATTGTTTTATAGCTGCAGTTGACTGTGTTGCCTCTTGTTTTTGAGACATGTAAGTACTGAAAAAGCTTTCTCGCACGAGATGCCCCTTTGGGAAGAGAGAGGTAAAGACTAGCTTGGCTAGCTCTGGGTAGTCAACCCATGCTGATCATGATACAGTCTTTGCATGACAGCTAGTATGAAAGTGTCATTAAGAATGTTCTTTTTTTTTTTTAATCTCCCTAGGTACCGCAATTCAATCTTCATTTTCTTTTTTCCATGTATAATTCTTTTATTTTGACTTTTCATGTTTGACTTTTTTATTGTTATTGCCACAGCCAACCAGACAGCTTTCACCAATTATTTTGGAACCTATGCCATAGCAGGAAAGGAAGGAACTGATAAGAAATCACTCTTCTGGGAAATTATCTTTGAAACGAACTGTGAAGCCTAGAAGTGCAGATCCAGTAGGAAGTGAATGTTTGGGGATTCATTGGTATTTGTTGTTTTTCTTGGCATGTGTGGTAGAAGAAGGGGGAGATGACCTGGATGGGCTGGTGAAGACAGAACTGGAGAACATGAAGGAGGAACACAAGCGTCTCCATTGCCTCACCACCTCACTCCATCAAAAGCATCATGCCATGTCTCTCAAGGTACCCATCAGCCTTATCTCTTTTTCTCTTATGGTCTAGTAAGATATAATGCATAATACCCATTAAATCACCTTTTCATCCCTAGTTCTTATACTTTGTTTTTGGGGAATACCTTGGGAGAGAAAATTAAGGCTGGTGATTAATTATCAATGTATTGTCTTTTTTTTCTTCTTTTCCATGTTAAATTGATTCACTTGAAAAAATTATTCTCAATATATTAACCTCACCTAACTGGATACTCTGAGCAAGTCTTGTGTGTATGTGTGTGTGAATGGCACAAGTGATTTCATGAAGGGTAGTAATTTATTGAAGGTGATGAATGCAATGGATGGCCAGCTGTAGTGAGGAAATTATGCAAACACTTTCTGAGCTTGTCCATGTGACCACTGGCAATCTATCTGTATCATGGCTTCAAGGTTGAGCATCTTGTATGATCTCCTTCTGGCAATACTTGTGAATTTGAAGCTGCAATGTGTGGCTGCTCATTTTATTCCCAAGAAATTGTCAGACGATGAGAGGCAGTAGTTACTGGACACATAGGGAGAATTGAAAATGGCTGCAGATAATGACCAACCATTTTGGACTGGCTCATCATTGGACAAAATGTTAGTGTCCCGGTACAACCCCAGACAATGACCCAGAGTTCTGTGCTGAGGACATCTTCATTGCTGCAGTTGAAGAAATGCCGAACTGACAGTTCCCATGGAAACTCTATGCTGACTGCTTCCTTTGATGCATGGGACGTTGTTCACCATGAGTTTCTTTTGCAAGGATCAACACAAAATGCTATTTTTTGCAAGGAGGTTGTTGCATGTCTCATCAATGCTATGCAATGCAAATGCCTTGATCTGTTTATATAGCACTCATGGATCCTTCTACATAACAATGCTCCATGCCACACATCACACTTCTCATCTGAATTTCTAACTAATCATAAAGTGACATTGTTGACCCATCCACCATACTCAATGGATCTTAGACCTATTGACATTGTGCCATTTCCCAGAATGAAGTGTCTTCTGAAAGGCCACTGCTTTGACTACAAAGATTCTAATTGGCTGTAATCAATGTATTAGAAGAGAGTGCCAAGAATGGGTTACAGCTAGGGTTGTACCTATGGTCACATTTAGCCATTGGGCCCATGGCCAATTTAGATCTCATAACCACCGGCAGTCACCAGCGCCAATTATGGTGTCCAGATTGAAAAAACATGGAATCAAATGATAATTCAAATAGGCCTATTTGGCATCCCCGTGGTACTTATCAATAGTCTACTTTTTAAAGCAATAGTAACCATTTTTAGGCCTCCCTAACTTGCTTGTCTTTGTCTGCCATTAGTTTTTTTGTTGCCTATTGCTGCCCCTTAAAAGCACTTTTTGGTGCATCTCTTACAAAAGCATAACATCAAGGTAAAGAAGTGCAATGGTTTCCCTATTATTTTCCCCTGCTGGTTTCTATACTTGGGCTGAAATATAATCTGATTGTTATTTTTGTCTGGGAGAGGCTGGCAGGAGTTGCTTTCAGTGAGATGTGAGAGCCAGCACCTAGCTCTGCCACACATCTTTCTTTTATATCATTTTGCCCCTACTTTGGGCACAGGCATCTGCAGCTTGCACCCTTGCCAATGATGCTACACCAGTGGTTTATACTGGTGGTTGTTGGTATATTGGTACAGCCCTAGTTGCAGCCAATTTCCCAAACTCTATATGAATGTTAGGAGAATTGTATTGCAAATCAAAAGAACTATTTTGAAACCTAACTTCTGGAAATAGCTTGCTCATATAAAGCTTGGTCCTGGATATTTTTTGATAGCCCTACATACATCATGCCATGGGAACTCATAGTTTTTATTGAATCAAGCAGTTGTTCTCTTTTGTGATTGTCATATATAGGTTCAAAATACAGAGCTGTTGTATGATGTTAAGACAGGATTACTGCCCATTTTTGCATAAGTTCAAAGTCTGGTAAAAGAAAATACATTTGTAAAGTAAACAATGGCATGTTCCCACCTTGTTTTTTTCTGTTTAACCATTTCTCATGTGTAAGGAAACAAAAGTTAGGTTTCTGCTTTTGCCATTTACAGTTTTTCTGCTTGGCCTCTTCATCTCAGGTGGCAGAGCTAGGGGAGAAGTTGGTGGCAGCAGAGACTGAGTGTGCAGAATTGCGGGTGCGCTTAGAGGAGGCAGAGTATGAGCGGGACAAGTGCACTGGGGAACGGGATAAGATGCAGAGCCTTCTGGTTGAGGCACGGGAGCAGGTGAAGAGCCTTCAGGTGCTTTGTGCAGAGAACCAGGACTCCCAGTCCCGCAATGGACCCCATGCCAAGAACCTCTCCACTCTTTCCCAGAAAAAGGTAATGCGCAAAAATAATTTAACATTGTTTACCATTTCACTCTTATCAGAACCCATCTTCATCATTGGTAGTATTCTCTCATCTTCCACATTTCTCTCTTGAGGCACAATGAAATGTTCTGTCACATGAACATTAACAAGTCTTAATCAGTTTTATGAATCCCATGGCCAATCCATTATATGCAAAGAAGGTGCATTGAATTAGTTCTTCCCCTTTTTCTGTTGGAAAACTACTAGGAACAGAGTGTTGCTCTTAATCACTTTTCACCTTGAGCATCAAATAGGTGATAATCATCTATGACATGGCATTCTGTAGTGTTGCACTGTGGTGATGGAAGCCAGAAATGATTGTGATATGAATTACAGTTGGAGGAGCTACAACATGAGCTGGAGGAGCAGCGTGAATTGGCATCAGGACGTATGGCAGAGTTGGAGAAGCTGCATGCCAATCACAAGGAAGCCCTTCAGACTGTTGAGAAACTCAAAATGGAGGTAATGTTAAGATCTAAGTTACCTTAGTGCTTGATTATGCTTCCTAAGATGCTTCTCTTATTTTTATTCTTTTTCTCCAGATCAAGTATATCCCAGAATCAACTATTCAAGAAAGCGTTCCATACAAGACACTCCAGAGCAACTTTTCAGTTCTCTACAACGAATTTATGAACTTGAAAACTGAGTATGACAACAAATGCGGTAAGCTCCATCTGACAGAAGAGGAGGACACAAAGCGCATTGCACTGATGGAGGTCAGTGCATCATCTTTCATTGCTGAATCCTGTTATCTGCTTGGTGGGATGACACATTGCTCTGTATGGACCAACAATATATTGTTATAGCATAGTCCCATGGCTTTCCAACCATTTATTGACTGAGGCCCATAACAGTAGCTGTTGTAATTGCTACTCACCTTTTCAAAGACACAAAACAATAGACAACATTGATCTATTAATGCTTGTATTTTTTCATAGTTTGAGTTGGTCCATTGAACCCTTATTCTTGCATCTTCATTTACACCTTGCCATTGTGAGGGTAAGTGGGCAGCTTTAATACTTATTAATCAAAGTACCAGATCTCTTACTGTACAGCACCTCATATCTTATTTACAGGCAATTTGTCCATGGGAGAAACAGCAATCATACAGCTAAAAATTGTCAGCCCTTGCAATTGTATTGATTCAACCAGTAGCAGAATCCTTGTGAAACAAAAAAATAAAAAGGAATGGTTCCATGGAGAACTGTGCCCCTCTCATGTTATGATTTGAGGTCATATCTTTAAGTCTGCTTTGATGCATTTCCTTTTGATTATGCACTCTTGACTGACGATTCTGTAGCTGTTCCCATCTGATTCTTTTAATCTGGTAATCTAACACCATGTTGCTATATTTTGTTTGCAATATAGTTTTTATTATCATAACCCCTATTTTTCTGTTCATTTTTAAAAATAATTTGATTAAATTTGATTCAGTTTTTAATTGCAACTGCCATAATCCACTCGGGATGCTTATGACCTGCTAGTTGGGAACCACTGGTCTAGTCCAGTTATATGACTAGTAGGTTTCAGCATCACCATAATTGCAGTTATATTGGGTTGAGGCATAAGTTCTGACCCTATATGACCTATGTTTAGAAATTTGACTGTCATTTTCTGATGTAAAATTTTGCTGCTATTGCATTTTGCATTTGATTGCCAGTTGTCTGCCAAGTGTTTTGATACTTCATTTGCCACAAACTGTTTATTGTGTCGCTCCATTTTTCAGCACAATGATTGACCAAAATCTTTACTTTCACATCCTCCTACTTAATGCATACCATTGCAAGGACAAGGGAAGCAATCCTGACACTGAGAGTGATAGTAGAGAATAAGGAAGATAGGGGAAGACAAGTGTACATATATGGCATTTGTCAACCTGTCACACCTAAACAGTGAGTTGTTTTTGGGCCTGATCATTACAATGATGAGAAGATGAGAAGTAGGTCAGCTACAACTATGTCACTTGCAAATGGCAGTTGTTGGCCACAGACAAGACAGCCACTTTCATGCCAAAAGCTGAGCTGCACCCAAAATGCCACCTCCTGTGCATTTCATGGGACTAGCACAATGTGATCCATTTTGAGCTGCTCCAAGAAAACCAGACAATCACAGTGGATTTCTACTCCAACTGGCTTCAACATGAAGAATTGCACAAAAAATGTCCTACACTGGTCAACGGAAAGGGCATCATTCTCCAGCATGACAACGCTCAACTGCATGTTTCGAAGTCAACCAAGGGAAAGATCAAGGAGCTTGGATGGGAAACGCTGCCTCGTCCACTCACCAGACAATGTACCATCAGATTACCACCTGTTCCGGTCTCTCTAATGCCACCTCGCCAACAGTCACCACAAAGACTGCAACAACCTCCGTCACAACCTAGCCACATTCTTCAAGTCCAAATTCTATGAGCAAAAGGCATTGACCAACTGCCTGAGTGCTGGGTGAAGGCCATTGAACATAATGGTTAATATTTCATTGATTGAGATTGTTATTTATTGGAAATAACTAAATAGGTTGTTTTACCTAAGAGGGTCAGAACTTATGCCTCAACCTAATAGATGTTGAAGCCCTCCTTGCTTCAACATGGTAGACACAAGTATGTTGGCTTGATGTACTTATTCCTGATCAAAGCTGGGACACAAAGAGAAAATGTGGGACTGTTCCTTTAGGATTGTTCAAACTGTTCGCATGTGTGTGTATTTCAGAATGAAGAGCTGATGTGCCAGAAGAAGCTTAGAGCAGAGTTGATGCAACTGGAGGATATGCTGGCCCAGGTGCGGAAAGAGTACGAGATGCTTAGGATTGAGTTTGAGCAGAACCTGGCAGCCAACGAGCAAACGGGTCCCATCAACCGGGAGATGCGGCATCTCATCACTTCACTCCAGAACCATAATCATCAATTAAAGGGGGAGATCCAGCGAGGGAAAAAGAGGCACCGGGAACTCTCTAATGAACTTGCCAAGGTCTCCCCTCTCCCTACTCACTGCATTTTAAAGAAGGATGGTGTGGTTGTCTGTGATGTTCACTGTAGGGAAGTATTTCTTAACATTTTTTATTTCACAGCACACTTTTGAGTTTGCTCAATCCTCATTGCATACCAGATTGAAATTCACAATGTCAATGTGTATAATATATTCATCATCCACTAGTCATTGGAAGGAAGAGAGAAAAAAAATTTTTTTTTTTATATAGATAGAACAAATTATAGCTAAGGTTGTGAAGCACTGCAGTAAGGGGTGTTTGGTTGCTACCTGCAATTTAAACCCTTAAGCCTTTAATGCCCAAGCCATTTTTAGCTTCCAGTTGACAAAATTGTGCCCTTCCACAAAATCAAGCATTATGCCATCAAATTGTAGTACTTTTTCTAATTGGCATGAAATGAAAGACCAGATTCTGTGGAATATAATGCCATCAACATTTTTTACTCTAGATTTAATAGATCTTGCCCCCACAGAATGATCCTACATTCATCTTGAAGATTTAAGCCTTGAAAATGCCAAAAAACCAAAACAATAATCATCATGCATGTCGTCTCTCATAAACTAACTCATGACCTTGATTATTGCTGCCATCTTATGAACAATCTCAAAAATAAAGAAAAATTAATATGATGCAATAGCAAAAGTGCATTATGATGTACTTGGCCATGAAAGAGTTGATGCATGGTGGAGCTCAGTTGCTTCATTTGCAAACTGAAAAAATTATAACAATGAACAATAAAATAGATAATTAAGTGCAACATTGAAATGTTTCAGACCTTCAGTTTCCAAAATTGAGGGATGAATTTGACTCTATTTTTTCCAAGTTGTGAGATAAGGAAATTAAAAGGGTAATGAAAGGAATTTTTTTTCCTTTTTGGCAAATTAAATTTTTAGGCTTAATTTAGGTCATTGAGCTCAGGAGAAATTGTGGAAATAATGCCTGCCTTGAATTTGTAAGTTCAAGCCCTGAACTTGCATTTTTGCATTTTGCTGTTAATGGTTCTAATATTTTTTGGTTTTGAATGTAGCATGTCTGCTACACCATGCATTAGGTTAGTGTCTAATTTAGGATTTGCAGGGATTAGACCTTTTCAAAGGTGAGATATTTTGGGTGTGATATATGATGGGCATAATGGTTTTTCTAACATTGGACATAGATAATTTCAATGATTCAGCTGAGTTAGATGGCCTAGTTGTGCCATGGAGACAGCATCTGTCTCCAATAAATGTTTTGTTGCAAAAAAATTGGTGTGACAAGGGTTAATGCTTTTGCTTCTTAGCTTCTGGGCAAAATCCATTCTTCTGCCTAGTCAGGGTGAACATTTTTTGAAGCAATTTTGACCCAATTTGTTGTTCACTTAGAGTAGTCATGGTGCTTTCTTTTTTCTGCTAAGGAAAGCTAAAGGCTGAGGTAAAATAGTTGACTTTTCTGCCATCATCCAACATACTCATTTTGGCCTTTTCAGGCTAGGAAGGAAATAGAGGATCTGCGGGCTCAGGTTGCTCAGCAGAAGTTGGGTGCCAAGAAGTTGAGTGCAGATGGTTCTTCAGGGACACTGGTGAACAGTGGGGGTGCCAATGGTCCAGGTCCACATGATGTGGGCTCAGGTCCAAGTCACAGGGACAAACAGCCAACCCAACAACAGAACTGTACTGGTGATTCCACCCCTTCTCCAGTGGTACATGTCAAACAAGAGTCTTTCAAGTCTGAGCACCCTGGTGCCAACTCACATGTGAGTATCTTTTTTCCTTGCTTTTTATGTATGACTGACTCATGAAGAAGGATGTTTCTTACAATATTTTGTAATAATACCAACAAAAAAAAATTACAATTGGTTTCATCAGTGAAATCTGGTGTCCTTTTGGTTGTTAGTCTGGAAATCATATTTGACCTAAATAGTCAGCATCTTTGTGTTTCTGACAAGGGTAGCAGATTGGTGCTAAAGAAAGCCATGGAGCTATTACCAAAACCATTTTTTGTTTACTTAGAAACATCAATCATCTGGTAGGCTGCAACTCACTATTTGGGAACTGTGACTATAAGAGTCAACTTTTTACCATTTCCTTTTTCACTATGTATTTTTTATTCACTGGCAATGCATTTTGGCTGATGGGAAGCAGATTTGGGAGAATGGGGAGACTTATCAGCCTGAAGCATGAAAGGGAAGACACTCCATTAGGGAAATGCATAATAGCTACGAGGGTCACCTCAAAAGTAGTGCTCCCGATTTTTTTCTGAGTAATGCTTAATTGCAATTGAAATTGGCGGTTCGCCAGCATTGACTCCATTGTTTTCCACCGTTGCTGGCGAAGTTTCGTGGTTTCACCCCCAGGAGGATATAAGTGTACGCATAGTTCAAAATGGCCGATATGTCAGTCACGTTTTAAGCAGAGAGCTGTGATTGAATTTTTGACTGCGGAAGGGGAAGTGCCGATAGTGATCCACAGACGTCTCACACATGTGTATGGAGAAGATACTGTCAGTGTGCATACAGTGAGAAGGTGGGTTACAAAGTTCAAAAGTAGTGATACGTCTCTGGCTGACAGGCCACGAAGCGGGCGGCCAGCAACGGTGACTGATTCCAACCAGCAAAGGGTTGATGAATTGATACGGGGTAATCGGCGGATCACGCAAGCGGAATTGAGCCATATTGTCGGCATTGGTCACCATGCTGTCGAATCCATCATCAATAACCTTGGATACAGCAAGGTTTGTGCTCGGTGGGTACCGCGCATGCTTACAGATGTACGCAAGGCAGAGAGGAAAAGAATCTCCTCTAAACTTCTTCAGCGGTATGAACAGCTGGGAGACAACTTTTTGTCACAAATAATAACCGGTGACGAGTCCTGGGTTCACTATTATGAACCTGAGACAAAACGGCAGTCTATGGAGTGGAGACATGACACATCCCTGCGCCCGAAAAAATTCAAGACCCAGGCATTGGCGGGCAAAGTTATGGTCACTGTTTTTTGGGACATTTGTGGAGTGGTGTTGGTCGACTTTCTGGCTAAAGGGTCAACGATCAATTTGGAACAATACATCAGCACTCTGAAGAAGCTGAAGGCCCGTATACGCCAAGCAAGACCACATATGAACATGCAGGAGGTGTTACTGCAACAAGACAATGCCAGGCCTCACACAAGTCGTCTAACATCGGAAGCCATTGCAAAGATGGGATGGGGTGTCCTTCCTCATCCTGCATACAGTCCAGACCTCGCCCCCACTGACTTCCATTTGTTCGGTCCTCTGAAGGATGCTCTACGGGGGCACCATTTTCAATCAGATGATGATGTGAAGATGGCGGTTCGTCGCTGGCTGCATCAACAAGATGAAGCTTTCTTTCGCACTTTATAATGGCACTGCTTCCACACTGGCGCAAATGTGTGGAACGTAATGGGGACTATGTGGAGAAATAAATATACAGAAATTTTCACACATGTTATTGCTAACTATTACTGTGTACTTGCGTTCAATTGTGATAAATCATTTGTCTGAAAAAATCGGGAGCATTACTTTTGGGGTGACCCTCGTATATTTTTTATAGCTTATATTCGCCGGATTGGCAACTTGAAAATCAAATTCCGTCATGGCTACATTATTGAAGCCTATTTTGAAACCCTCAACTACCTCTATGATGCTAATTGCTTTAATGAACATGTGACTATGGGGGTGATGGGTTGAGAAATTAATAAGTTTTAGTTGGACGAGAAGCTGGAGGATCCTTGTTGGTACTTTACGGAGGGAGTGTGTCTTCCATGGCTCGAACGGAAGAGGATCCTAGTTTTATTGTGAGAAAATCCCCGGACGTAGACTTGTGGGACTTTGGGACCGATCGCCCATTTCCTCATCGAGGGATTGCTCCAGAGGCACCAGCTTGGGTCCCATCCCCAATCGTGACCGTGCAATCGTGTTTCTGATTGTTGCAATTCTTGTGTATCATAGATAAGAATATTGAAGTACCGGTTGAAGGTTGAAGTACCGACGAGCTTGCATTTGTTCGGGAGAAATGACTTTTGGGATTTTCAAGTACTGGATATTCGGAAAAGTACTTTCAACGAAGCCTTGAACAAATATGACCGAATTAAGCATACTTGAAATGGTCTTAGTACGAATGTGTGCATATCAGGGCTAACAGACTTTAAATACTGTAAATCAACAGATTACTATAAAGCAAAACTCTCCGATATGATTTAGATAATCGAGCTACTGTTGGACTTGGTGGTATTTCTGTTATGGACCTCAAGCACTACGAAGCGCCAGCAGTACTGGAAGAGCCTTACAGAGAGGTGCTTAATTCATCATAATAAAGATTGGTTTTCTGGGACACTACTGCTCCCAAGGCCCTATATAGTCTAAGTTTAGACACATGATCCCGATGGCGCCTCTTTTCCGTCCACTGATCGGATGATTCAAGGCTGGGGTGGAGAGTTCCCCCCCTCGTAATTTTGGTTCTGTTCAAGAGGAACATTTTGATGTCTCTTCTTGGCAGATAGACAACATGTTATTGTCAGAGGTCATGAAAAAAAAAACCAGTCACGGTTGTTGATGTTACGAGCGAACGCATCCCGACTCTCGTCCATGTAAGCCCTTTTGCGTAGAGTGAAAATTTGCGTCGATTTCACCTTCCGAATTCTTCCTCATTTCAACTGTACTTCGCTAGCGATCGCTACTGATTTAAATCGAGATCTCACGCTCTCACTGGTCTTCGCCACCTTTTGTCTTTACAGTTCTACTAGCTGAGAAAGTCAATGGATTTGTCAGCTTCCGAAATGACATCAAGACACCGAATGGCACCCCCAAATCAGTCCCGATTGCACGACCGCAGCTCGATATGGAACGGAAAGACGACCCCCTGGTCGAGCGCCGTGCTGAACGACTGATTGCAACAGGAGAGATGTGAACCGATATGCAGAGTTTTCCACGTGAGTCAAGCATTTTTTCTCTTTACTCGACATTCGTGCTTGAGGAATGTCTCATGCGCAAGAGTTAAGTCGAGCGGAAAATTGTCTAAGTGGAATGAAAAATAGCGTAGCTCTTACTGACAGGGCCGACCATTATCGTGTCCTTGGTCGGCCAACCGTCGTTGCTGCCATCTACCTTCGATAGTTTGAGCTAAAACGTTTCTCGTTGAAATGTAGATGTCAGGTGTGAGTAGCGTTAGCTTCGAGCTTCGTCCTGGGTCTTGCCTCATAGCGAAGCGCTGGGTAAGTCTGAGACAACGTCTGTAAATAAAGAGACAGGTCGAGAAACTCTTATCTTGCTGCCATTGAATCACTTGAAAGAAATCTTCCCACAGGAATCCCCACACTCGCTTGTTGTTCGACGATGGCGACCATTGATGCGCCAATGCTTGACTCGATGGGGAAAATTGTCGGAGATTAGACTGCGCGTTTCCGGGACTGTGTATTTTGAGAATATGAATCCCCCTTCCAAACGTTGCTGAATCTAAGTGATGCAGCAACAAAAATTTCGATTTCATCGGGAAAAAGGTGGGACGGACGGTCATGGAGGTGGTGCTGTAATCGCAATCAGTCGTTATGTGACCCTCCTTCATCAAATTAATATAGCATCCTCGTTGGATGGAACTCATGAGATTCGAAATTCTGGCTAAAGGCGTCAAAAGTGGAAGCTCACAGAGGCACTCTGCGTGCGGGCCGCGGGCCGTGGGCCGTGGGCCGGGCGAATGCCACTCCAACTCCAACGGTCAATGCATTATATAGGTACTCTTGCAGTGTTATTCTCCTTGTGCGATATGGTATTTTATGATTATTACTTAGTGCTAGGAAATTTGCTAACATAATTAACATAATTCCTATGCTAACGAAGACTAAAGGTCCCCATCATTAAAATTCTTTTCTGCCGATAGCCATGACTTCTTCTTACCTATTTAAGGTGTTAGAATGTATGGTGGACGTATGACTTCTCCGTTACTTTGAGGTAAATTATTGTTGAATAAAATTGAATGGGTTGGAGGAAGAAGTGCAGAGGAGCTTCCCAAGCGCGAATGGAAAAGGCATAAAAATGACCGTTTCAAATCATTGCGTATATTTTGGCGACATTAAATCAACATTGAATCAACGTTGGTTCAACGTCCGGATGTTGAATCGTCGTCGAATCAATGTTGTTTCAATATTATGTGCTACTAGGGTGACGGTAAAAAAAACGATTTGGTTGGGATGGTGGTCTTCCGCATAATATATCACGACACGGCAGATCTGGTTTCCTGAATCGAATCGGTATTTCCATCCCATTCATCCGAAACTCACGCAGTTCGAGCTCCACCATCAGTAACGAGTTTTCCCTCGAGGGAAAACTCGATCAGCGCCAATCCGTCTACGTTCATCTCTTTTCCCAAGCTTGCACACTTTCAACGTTCCGCATCTTGCTGGATTAGACATACCCGATGTTGCGGTAAAGCCAGGAGGAAAAGACCTAAACGAATCCATAAAATTATTCAGGGTGGCTCAAAAAATGTGGCCTCTAATGGGAAAATATTGTGGTAGATTCAACTTCAAGTTTAAAATTCAATTGCAATGTCATTGCATTTACAATGTTCTCGTTTGAATGTACATTAATGCGTGTAATTCCTTCTTAAACTTTTTAAAGTTCGATCTGACATTCCGAACTTGCATTTCTTATTCCCAGTCAGTGGTAACATTTTTTGAACCACCCTGTATTGAAGGAATTGCTCAGGAGAGCATTAGTCGTTCGTGGAAAGGAAATCACGTTCTGCGATCAGCAAATCTCCAGTCGTCACCTCGGATAGTGATTCTAACATAATCCATTCAGCTCGTGGCAGGAAGGAAACGGACATGCCTAGCAGAAACGGCGGCGGAACACTTAAATTAGATGGCTGCACATTGCCGCAGCTCCTATCTCAGGAAGCGATAACGGAGCCCCACATTATCAAAGCGCTGTTATTTCCAATGCCGACGTTTCTGGCTTTCGGCTCTGCTGGTGGCATAATGCATTATAAGATATGAATCGACCAATCAGAAGGTTTGCAGTTATCACATTGCTTCCATTAATGAACGAGCAAGATAAACACTTAGACGGAATTTGCATTAAAGTGGCCACAACAGAAACTACAGTTAAAGAGCTCTCGTTCAGTTTAATGTTCAGGCCTTGATCCTTGCTTCAACTGATGGCTAAAGCAGTTTCGGCATCGGCAAGCGGACTACTACTTCAAGTAATTAATGTTTGCCATTCAAAACCCTCAGCGGCTGTTTTAAAAAGTAAAATAAATCCTAAGGTGTAGTTTCGCGTTGTTCCCCTATTTGAAAGCTGTAAAAAAAAAAAGTCCATTCCTTCCTCGTCTTATCACCAGAAAAGGTTTCACCAAGTTACCTCCTGTCCGTCCCACGATGGATTCTATCCCCAGTTTTTTGTGCGAAAATTTCGCATTTCGATTTCGTCTCTGAAACGGTCGAACGTGTCAACCAACGGTGGACACGTTCGACCTGGATACCGAGTACTCCATCACTTTCGCTGTCGTAAAGAGGCAACTTGTAATCTCGCCCCCAAGGACAAATATTGTCAAGTGTACTTGACAGATAAGATATGGAAGTTAAAGTCCGTCTGCTTTTACGTTCCCTTCGCATAAATGGTTATGGGCCATGGGAGAGGTTAGAGGCGGTGGTTTATTGCATGCGTGCTTGCTCGCTATTCATCAGTTGGAGACAGTAGCGTAGCCAGAACTTCATGAAGGGAGGCTGAAAACTTTCGAAGATTCCTTTTTACATCGTCTTTTTAGCTGGAAGGTGGATGCTGAAAAAGTTCTGGAAGTTCCCTTTTTTTCCCGCTATGCCCGTCACGCAGGAGGGGATCGAAAACTTCCTTGAGAAAGAAACTTCTTACAATCATAGGAGAAATATTATCCCTTTCACCTTCGGAGGCAACCTCCCTCCATTGGGTTCCGGGAGTGCCGCTTGCCTTCCCACTTCGCCCCTGATAGAAGTCAGGCAAACCCTGTTTGCACTGCCATGAAAGGAGTTATATTCTTAGTGCCCCCAGCCACAACATCAGTCATGCCCCTTGAGTTCCTTTCTTCCCCACCTCCTTTGACGCGTAGGTAAGACAAGTATCCAAGGTGGATTTAACCATGGAAACTTATTCCCTATATACTTAGGACGTCCACAATTAAACATCAGGTCATCCCGATGACATTATCGAATTTCACCCGTCCATTGCATGGAGTTCTTTAGATATCCATTATAAAGAGGCAGACAACGCTTTGGTTAATTGTATGAAGTGAAACCACACTATCATTTTCCTTGGGCTTTTACCGGGTCTTTATAAAAGAACGTTCTATTTTGAATATGTATTTTCCGCATTACTTGACGTATAAAGTTGTACTACAACATTGTTTGCAAAGAAATTGAGTTTTTCCCCCGAAGTAGTACGTGCTTCACGTGGGAGCCACGACTTGAGAAACCCTTTGAAGTGCTTCTCGAAAGTTTTCCATGGTCATGGTAAGCATCTCCCGACTGATACCATTTTCGCTTCCCGTTGCGCTAATGGGTGCGGTTTATCTCTGTAGACATTGAGCTTTAGGGGCCTCCAAATCTCATGGATTGAGGTCAGGAGAGTGTGGTGGGCAAGATCATCCACGTCCAAAACGACCAGGAAATCAACTAAAGATTACATGGTACCAAGCGTACGTGTAGATGCAACACTACATTTGCCGTGTGGACCTGTACCATTCCGGAAGGTGATAGTAAAATGGTTACTCTGCTTGAAATGACGTTTCACACAAACACAATGACCTTTTTGGAATTCAAACACATTCACCATCTTGAAATATGGTGACTAGTTCTGAAAAAGGATTACAGGAGCATCACAATACAATAGTGCAATTTTCAAAAGCTTTAACACGAACCCCTTTAAAATCCCATCCTGTCTGGATGGGACGGAAAAAGACGATCTAGAATCTAGAATTAGTGGCGTTTCATAGCCGAGGAGTCAGGGAAAGCCAGCAGATCGAGGCCACTAAGTTCCAGCCGACCGATATCATGGGAGATAATTACCTGGAAGGGCGCCCGACACCCCTCCCCTGCCCACCCATGAATTAGGTCACTGACCAACTATTTACGAATCATTAAATTCATATTTGAACCATCCGTATCGAACGGGAATAGGGTGGATATATCAGGGAAACTAAACACCACCACCGCAAAAGAAAAAAAAAGTTTTCTGCAGGAATGTTTATTCCCAAATTGGCTCCATAAAGAAAAAAAAATTTTGGCGCCACCGGATTTCAAGAGGAATTAAAACTATCACAGGGATGCAAATAAAATCCGAAAAACAGGGAAATTCATAAATTGAATAAACGAGGAAATTTAAAAAGGAGCCCGGACGACAAGTGGTGTATTCATTTGCCAGTGAGCTTGCTCTTAGCCCATTCTCCGAATTGGACGGCTCCATCGTGATTGAGTTCAGCGTAGCCCTTCATCTCCCCCTTGCATTTGGCGAACCATTCCGACAGATGCTTGTACTGGGCCAGCTCCACCACTCCCGCCGCCTTCACAGAACAGTCGATGCAATCAATTATTACGAGGGAGACATCGGACAATTTCTTACGCTTTAACTACCTTCCAAGGTAATAGCTCTATGCAAAAGCAAGCCCAATTTCCAGCAATATATAATCGGTACCAATTAGTTATTGGACCTATTTAAAAAAAGAATTTCAACGAATGAAGCATAGTTCAATTTTGGGACATTTCTATAACGATTATGAAACTGCTAAAAAAAAAAGAGGAAAAAAACCATTATGTATTCATGCCAATAAGAGCAACTTTGTTTAGATAATTTTTCCGCAATTGCATGAATAAATATTTACGCATGTTTCATGAAAGTGCTATATTCCAATAAACATTTTCCACAGCTAGACAGGTTGATGTTTAACCGAGTCGCATCATGAAAAGTTTTGGCAAGTTTCGGTCATTTTCACTAACTTCGACAATTTACAATAAACCTGGAGAAATGTATTAACGATAGATTAACTAGAGTTGTAACATTTACTGTTATCGGCCGCCGGTGTTGCATCATCGGCCGATTTGCACGCTCCCGGTGCAGAGTACCTTTTCTGGTACTCTGCACCGCGAGTGGCCTCCTTAACACCATGTGTTAGAGGCCATGATTAATAATACTGATTAATACCACGTGACTGCCCAAGAGGCATATATGAATTAGGCTGAGAAGAGTCACATGAAATCTACAGACCGCAACCGGGACTGGCCGATAGAAATAAATAGGACACCTTAATGTGGCCATTGGTTCATTCCTAGGATTGACATACGTTGGCTTTAAGATGAATGATTTGTCTTCATGACAAGTAATCACCCAATATAAATTAATGTACAGGTATACAATTGCAGGTGCAATTAGGAAAAAAAAACTATTCCACAATCATCTGAATAGACGAATCGAGTAATCGCTAACCGAAAGACTTCTTTGCACAGAGTAAAAAAGGAATCGAAGCATTATGGATATCATTTCCTATCAATCTGATTCGAATGACACGATGGTTGAGCCGAGTCAACCGATCCGAAAACCCTCACGAAATCCCCCACGATTCGATGCAGAGTGAAAAGCGCCGAACCTCGATCGTAGCAATGGAGGCGATTATGGCGAAATCTGCAAGGGTGACGTGCTTGCCGGCACAGTACCCGCCGGACTTGTGGATGAAACCGTCCAGCCAGCCCAGGGCCTCTTCCAGTTTCTTCTTTTTCTCGGGATCCAGAGAGGTGTCCTTTCCCCACATCACCGGGTACTGAAAATCCACAAACTAGATGCAGAAACTTCATTCTCCCAAGTGGCTTTTTCTTGGGGAACAAAAGGCTAACGCAATTCCTATTAATCGCATAAAGACGGGGCTAGATGAAGTTAGACAGTACGCATACCCATCTGTCTGCAGGAATCCCAGGAGGAAGATTCGCGTTCACTCGTTTCACAACCTTACGTTTCTAGCTTCGCTGTTTAAGGATTGATTCTTTCGCCCGTGTACCAACTTCAGCCAGTATGACACCGTACTCAATGGGAATCAAATATGAAAAAGGTAAAATATTTAAAATTTAAGTACCGCAAAATATCTGGCCCAATTGCCCATTCAAATGAGACATAAACATACGTTTTAAATAACGAGTAGAAAGGACTAGCGTTATCATTCATAAAGCAACATCCATTTATCGGTAATGAAAATTGTAGATGCTGTCCAATATATTCCTGCGACCTATTTAATGATTCGGCTACTATTTTATTAATGGGAGTGCTTACGACGTATTCGCCGAATCGATGGTAGAGAGTGCCCATGTCGAAGTAGAGCCTTTGCTCAACGATTGCCCGGGCTTTGGGGTCCTTCGGGTACAGACTGTCATCCTTTCCATACTTGTTCATCAGGTAGGTCATGATGGCACGGCTACATGGCACATCACATCGAAAATACCATTAAAACCCTCAACTCACGAAAACTGAATTATTTTTTTTTTTTTAGAAGCAGAAGGATTTTAAAACGTTTTCGTGCTGTTACATACATTTCCCGCTGTTACGTGCGATAGACCAAAAGGTTTCTCGCAAATTTTTGGATACCCTCTTTCTCGGCGAAATTGGAATGGCTGATGTACTTCCAAAAAAAGGCAGAATGGCTTACGTTACAAATCTCTGGAAAGTGCTTATCCCAATTTTCCTCAGATTTCCGGTATGTTATTCTGATAATGCGTAGTTACTCAATATTCACACGATTATGCCAAACAAAGGAATAGACATGGATATGAAAGTAGTCTTACCTCTCCCAAAGGTGGAAGCCGTTGTCGTCCATGGTAGGGATCGTATGCTGGGGATTCATCTGCGAGAAGAGAATTTTTTTTTACGGTAGTCCACTACGTGTCGGCAGCCAGTAGGCTATGGTCATCCCCTTTCCCTGAAACCTCCAGTGCGATTCTAGTATATCTAGATTTTCCTCACATTAATCGTACGTAACACTGACACGCCGGCGCGTCAAACGCCGAGTGGCGGTCCAAGTGTTAAAGTTCGAATGGAATTCCTTAGAAAAAAAAAAAGTATGGGGGCCAATGTAAAAGTGCTCACGGCAATATATTCAGGTGTCATGTGCTCCCCACTGAGAAGGTTGGTGAGCTTGCAGTTGAGCTCCACATCCAAGGCCTTGGCCGTGAGCAGGACACTCCTGCACGGAGCACTTAGCGGCATATAATAGAAGTCGATCTTCATCTTGGATTTCAGCACCTGTAAAAAAAAGAAGCAAATCCATCTGCATTCCAGGAAAGGTCGTTCCCCCTTCGTTTCAAGGAGGAGCCGGCATGTTTAATGACATGGCAGTTGAAAAGGGGCCAAATATGCCAATGCCCTGCCGCGGTATGTGGCTAGTCACGACATACGATGGAACGTAGCCTCGACTAGGAATTTCATACTGCAACCTGTACCTTTAAAACCCTTCCGAAGGGCTCCTCCTCACTAAGCACTTCCCTTGCTTGGAAGTAATACATAAATACTCCCAATATTAAAGAGTAATTCCTTCAATAGCAAGGACGAGGAAAATTTTATCAGAATGTAGATCTCAGCAAAAGCAAGTGCAAGAAATGAGGAAACTCACAGTTAATCGAGATGTAACACTTAACACGCTTTGTTGTAGAAATGCGAATAGCACGGATAGGACGGACGAGCGTACCTCCGACAGCGATACTGGCAAGGACGGGACTGCGACCGTAGCGAGGCCTTCATCCCTTCTTATACCCACGGGCCTCGCATGGCATCGTCCGGGGAGCTCTCCCCATTCAATGCCAAGGTCATGAACACCACGGGAAGGGGATTTTTTTTTCCCCCCCTTTGCGTAGTCTGGTCCTTTTATGTCTCTGTCGGTTTGCCATCATGCCTGCCTTTTCATGGCTCTGCCGGTTTATGATATTTTTCTTTTATTCTCGGTTCTATTCAGTATCAGCCAGAAAGCTAACGCATTAAGACATATGACGATTCTTGAATACGAGCGGAAGATGGGATAGGTTTACCAGAGAAATTTATTGCTTATTTTCACGAATCTGCAGAGGCTAATACGTGCATTTTCAAAAATAAGTTTTGTACATAATTACTCGATATGATCGAATAAATGCAGCTAACTAGCACGGACAAGATCAACCCAGTGTTGCATGAAGTCAACGTTTGCGCAAGCTGAAACTATTTTTTTTTTTACTGCCCCTGTACTAAGGAACTCCACTCAACAAGATGGACCTCACAACTTTAAACGAGAAAATCTCAAGTTTTCATAGCCAATCTCTAGCGCATTGTGACCCGAAACTTCATCGGAAGACGTGTTCGCACCCGAATCCACGACGCACCATCATCGGTTAAAGGAAATGATGGAACTCCACGCTGGAAACGGAAGGAATGCCGCCGGCCATTGTGCCAGGCTCCACAGATAAGGTCCGCTGCATTATTGAAGCGATGACTTTACGCTTCTCGGCCGGAAGTAATGAATACGGTGTTGACTCGTTTGTACTTGTTTTACGTGGCCGGAAGCGGCCGGAAGCGGCCGGAAGCGGCCGGAAGCCAGGAGATTCCTCTTTTGCTTATTTTTTGTCGTTAGATTAGGGTCTTCGAATTGCATGAATGTGTCTGGTCGAGGGGGCGGGTGCTGAATATGGAACTAGTTCCACTCATAAATTACTTGCATAGGATTACCTTTAATTACCTTTACCTTTATCATCATGAGACGGTCTCGGAGGTGGAAAAAAAAAAAAAGACCAAATGATTTTATACGATGCCCTTTACGGAGAAAGTCGGGAGTCAGGTTTAGCGAGGCAGACAGTATTGTCTGGGCGAATGCCGCTTTCGCTCCCGTCCTTGAAATGCTTCCCCTCCCCCTCCCCCCTTCCCCCCGGGGCATGAAGAAGCAGCCGGATGGCCTTGACCGTGACTCGAGTCTTTTCCATTCTTCCATCCCGTCGTGGGGAAGCGGACAGGGGCGGACATACCCCTCTACCTGCATGCTGTTCCCTAGAATTCTCGCGAAACGTCGAGTTACTCCTCGTCCACATTTCGTGCTCTCAAGTCGAACACGTGAGCTCGTTTCACCGTGTTTTAAGAGTTCGCGTGTTAAAGCAGACGTCTGAACGCAAATCAGTTGCCGGGATTCACTCGAGTCGATCGTGCGCCTCGGTCGAACCGCGTTTAGCTCGCCGTGAAACGATCATTTCTATGGAGCTCACCATTGTTTCTTTTTTTTTTTAAATACCGGATACGTGAGTCAACTGACCCTGTCGAGTATGCGCTCCATTTTGCATTCTCAGGGGGGTCACCTTGGGAACGCGAGGATTTCACCGAAAGCGCTGCGGATCCCAGTTCGCGCTCGCATGAAAACGAATCGCATCTCAAACTCCCGTCTTCGGATTCAAAAATGTTCGGAAGCAAAGAGGCAGCCGGAACGAAGGGCAATTGAGGCCTTTCATCATCGCATCCCGACGGAGTGGGTCGACCTTGGGCGTCGCAACCGTACTGGAACGAACAGAAAGCAAATGTCACGGTACTCGGCGTTATCGTTCCTCCGTGTTTCTGCACTCAGTCGCCACACAACGGCGGATCGATGCGGCGTCGACGAACGCGATCGTGTTTCTTCCCTTTCCTCAAAGACCTTTCCGTTACAAAATGCCATCACCTCTCATTCCTCTCCGAGAGCATCTGTAAGAACGGAATTGGCCTTGCTTTTTAACCCTCTCGACGCAGAATCGCTCCAGCAAATTTAAAGCCGGGATTGCGGAGAACTCTGAATCTCGTTTCAATTTGCCCCCCCAAAAAGAAGGATGTGGACTTCTAGAGCTCGTATGTACCCTTTCCTTTATTGACCTTACACTCATAAAAAAATTAAATCAGCTGTCATTTGTTCAGACTTATCGTGCGGGCTTCTGTCCCCCCCCCCCCCCTTCTTGGATATCGTGCTGGAGCCATGTTGAATTCATGACTGCTTTTGTTTATTAATGCGTGACTTTTTTTTTCTGGGGGGGGGGGGGGGGCTCAGTTCATGGAACGAGGTGAGAAAGAGCGTCTAGCGATGGCCGATCGATGTGCAGTACTTCTTACTTTTTTTTCCGCGCGCGCATGATCCGTCGGTTCGAGTCTCGTCTGCATCCACTTACTGGCTCAAGATGTTTCGAAAAGTTTCAACGGTGAGTCCCTTTCCAAAGGAAGACTCGACACCCCATACCAGACCGTGGGCACGAAATCAAAGTCATTCACGATCGGAGCACTCGTTCTTTATTGGCGCATCCAGGAAAGAAGGCTCAGGTGAAGGTCCTCAAGCAGACATCTTACTGCGCAAGAAGCGAACGAAGGCCCCGACTCCCTTCCCGTTGGTTTCCTCGTAGCCGGGCATTTCCGTCTTGCATTTGGCCAGCCATGCAGTGAGGTGCTTCATCTCGGACAGGTCCAGGATCTCAAGAGCCTGTAAAGAACGATGAACTTGGCTTTGGACTCGAATGATTCGGTCCGATCTAGAGAACGATCGGGAACGAATGGGCCGACCTCGACGCTGGAGACGATCGGAACGATGGAAATATCGGCCAGAGTGATATGCGACGCCGCGCAATACCCGCCAGAGGCCTCGATGAATCCATCCAGGATCTCGAACGTCTCCTTCAGATCTTTCTTGGCGTCTTCCGAGATCGATTTCTCGTTCCCATAAACGATCGGCCGCTGGAAAGAGAGACAATCATTCACCCCGAGGAAAATCTCGTTCTCGAATCCAATTTCCCGTTTAAAACTTCGTCCTCACCACGCAGGCTCTCCACTTCCCGACGAGAATCCCGATGTCGAAGTCCAAGCGTTGATCGACGATGGCTCGGGCCTTCGGATCCTTCGGGTACAAAGACTCGTCCTTTCCGTACACGTTGAACAAATAGCGCATGATCGCACGACTGGCCGGGGCGGAAAACACGTCAATTTAATGCGAGCGACGGTGGAAGAAAATTAATTTGTTTGGGACATTCATTGGGCAGGTTTTGCGATCGCTGACGGTTCTGGTCCACGTTTAACAAACCTGAAAATGCGTCGTTCGTGTATACGAAGGCAGAAAGGGTCTTTACAGGTCTTCAAAGAAAGGTCTTTATACAAATTTTAAAAAAATTCAAAAGTCTCAATTTTTTGCATATATTTTTCTATTAATTTCTGGATCCGAGAACACATTCAGCAACCACCACCACCAATGCGCCAACAGTCAACGTTCCCGACGACAAAAAGTCATTTGGGTTCTGTTTTTCGATCGCGTGAGTTAATCTCGCAGACTTTCCTAGGGCGTTGTAAAACAGAGACCGTAAATTCCTTTATTCCGACCCTCGGATGTTTACGGGCAATCGGATCGAACGAATTGCACGGACAATCTCCGAAACGTTCATTTTGTTTTCCTTCGGTATCCAGCCATGGGAAAATTCCAGCCACTCAACGTCATCAAGCAATCAACAGTCATCTTGTGAACAACCGGGACCGGTCCAAATGTAAAAAATATATATATATATATTTTTCTTTGCAATAAGAAAAACTGGTATATTATTATCGTCATGATGGAAATAACTATCTGTATGTCTATGTTGCGGAAGGACAAATGCGTCCTTCCTTCAAAAATTGTGATAAATTGCTTTAGGGTACAATTATTCCACTACTTCAAGGATTCTGAATGCGTTTCATTTAGACTAAGAGGCATGTGGTGGCTTGGAAAGGGACTTAAAGGTTATCTTCTAGTAGGAACCGGGCACGTGGACAAAATTGTAAAAAGAAAAAGATATTGGTCTACATCCGGCTGTCAATTACTGATAAGAATTGCCGATAACGCATAACAGTGCACAGGTGAGGTTCCATTTGGAGTCAGTTATTCAATTTGGAAAGCAAATAAAGGTGCTAGAGTTCAAGACGAGCCACTAAAATCTTAAGGTGAACTTTAATACGAGGGTTGTTGAGGTGCATCGTGACTGGATTCGCCTGAAAGAAAACGAATGAGAATTTCACCTCGGATCTCAAAAGGCTTTGAGAGCGTAACGAGTTTTCAGGCTCAATGGCCACATCTAAAAAAAAAAAAATTTTAATAAAAAATAAAAAAGAGGGTAACTCTTCGAGTCACGGCAGTCTCAAGGTGCGGAGTCGCTTTTCCACTTAGTCCAGTGAATTTTAGAACGTGGAGAAGCTTTCGCTGTCCTTGATAGCTTTTCAAAGTTCGAGCCGAAAATTCCACGGTTCAATTCGCTACGGGCAAGACTTTCGGTCGCAAGTAAGAAAATGTGTACCTTCTATTAAATTATTACTTTTAGCGTGACATTTTCACAACATACTCTCAAAAGGTGAATAAATACGAGATAAATGTAAAAATAATAATCATATCCAGCATCAGCTACATTACCTTTAATACTTAACCGCTAAATCTGCTTCTGCCACGAACGGCAGTGAACATGTTAAGAAAATTCATGTTAAATCTACTAGTACCGAGTTAACCCGATCTGGTGCAAGTACCAGTCGCTCTGCGAAGGGGAACAGACCGTATTGTCTACGGTTCAATCACATCCTTCCGGGTATCAGACATTGCCCCCTTTTTCCTTTTAATACCTTAAAAAAAAAAAGCCTGCAGAGACAGCCCGAGATTGGGCTTACGAACTCGACCGGAAATGACTCAGGAATGTTTTCTTCCGGTCGAATGGCGGTTATCTTAACGATAGCGATTATCGCGAGCGAATAAATTTAATTCTACTTTTTTTTTGTATCACTGCAACGAAAATCCCCGCACTTCTTCCGATACATCCAGTTTTAAAGGCCAAGCTGTGAGAAGACAGAAGCGATACTGTTTTTATTTTATGCTTTTTACCTTTTGTCTTGTGCAGTCGATTCTCTACACTCCCAGCAAATAATTCCCAATCACGTAAGCCTACAAGTGTGAGGAAAAGGTCTGATGCGTTCACGAACGAAAATGAAAAAAAAAGGTTGGAAGAAAAAGGTTGAAGTAGAGCTTAAACTGGGGATGGAATCGGCACGTCAACACCAAGAAAGTGGTGAAAGCAATTTTCCCGACTGTTCATTCCATTACCTTTCGTAGAGAATGAATCCGTGGTCGTTGATGGTGGGAATGGTGTGCAGAGGATTCATCTGATGGAGAGAACAGAATCGGTAAGATATAATGGAACGCCAGGTCGAGCCTTATAGCCCGGCGAAACCGAAATACCTTGAGATACTCGGGAGTGCGCGTGGCCCCGGTGATGGGGCTGGTCTCGATCAGGTTCAGTTCCACCCCGACGGCCTTCGCCATCAGCATCACGCTTCTGCACGGGGGACTCGGCAGCAGGTAATACAGATCGATCGGCATCTGAAAATCCATTCCAGCCGAAATGAGAACGTACACGAGCGACGCTGTCATGCGATATCGACATCATTTGACTTTTGGCAATCATCATTTAACGAGGCATTCACTCGATGGGTGTTTGCAAACGAATGCTGGAACCTCGTCGAGGCGAGATGAAGGGGCTTTCAAACTTAAAGAACTCTTTTTTTCCTCCATCGATTTTTGAAGTTTCAGCATTCGGGCCTGAATGAGTCCAGCTCAACGTGCAACTCCTGACATCTAATCGCATCAGTCCAGACACTTGAGTATTAAAAGTTTTCACCGGAATAATGAAGACATCGTTAGCCGATTGGGTGAGCAGACACCCCATCTGACAGACATCTGACAGACATCTGACAGACTCGTCAGGCTTTCGGTCAGATTTTCCGGCTCTTAAAGGCTGTAGGAAGCTTAAGGGGCTCATTTAGGGGCCTTTAAGTCGAAGGCCTTCTTTTTCCTCATAGGAATCCAAGTTTTTCGAAAGGACCGTTTACTAAAGGTGGTTTCAGCATTCAGACCGAGGATTCCAACTATCGTTAGGGTCCCTTAAGATCACTCGACAAGAATTCGGAACACGAAGAGGTCGGAATGGCCTTAGCGGTACCTTGGAATGCGGAGGAGGTGCTGCGTGTGTAGGGGTCTGGAACTCACGCCGACACAGAAGAGACTTGTGGAAACGAAACGCCTGTGGGTATAGTATAGCGAGAAACGGCTTCCAGACCGTCTCGGGACGTTCAGGGGCGGGGCTAGGCTGGTGGAGATGGGAGAGGGGTCGTTCCGGTCGTTCCCTCTTCCGTCTCGTGTCGTGCATAAAGCTTGGTTCGCACCAACCGCATAGCATAGGGCGACATAGCACAGCACAAGTGCCCTTGTGCGGTCAAAACTTGGGTTCTAGGGTCTGTGCGAAGAGCTGAGCTGGATTCAACATAGCGCACATGGAACCGATGCTCAGCCAATCAGAGCAGAGATGTCTCGTCAAACTCATCATGGCGGTTTGCATGGAGGAACTCCTTATAATTGAAGTCCATTGGCCAGTGGTTCTATGAACCGACCGAGACGAGAACCACTGGTACCTAAAAATGTCCCCCAGATGCAGGACCATTATGCAAGGTTGTACTATCGCGTATATTCAACTAGGCCTAACTTAGCCTGAAATGAGAACTTATTGGGGAGTGGGGATTTCTCGAGCCCATATAGCTTTTCTAAGACAAATATGGACGTAAGAAAGTCAACTGCGACAAGGAAAGTCAAATGTGACAGTCGAATTTCTCAGTCGTGCCAGGTGACTTGTACTCTCTCGGATTTTCATTCTTGTTACTCACGTCTCTTTATGAAAACTCACGAATCATCATTCATTGTACTGGCAATCTTTTCATGCCAGATTATGGATAATGGAAGTTATTGACTATAGCCAAGGATGACCATATGCTGTCGTTATCAGAGTAGGCCCTTGGACCAGTGGCGTGCCCAGGAAATCCGAAAGGGGGGGGGGGGTTTGCCATATGAAACATTGATTACCCACCCTGATGGGGGGGAGTTAACATATGAAAAAGCTGATATTTGTATTTGTGGCCAAATTAAAAAATCTGTAAGAATCGAACCTGTAAAATTGACCCCAAGGGGGGGGGTTATGACCCCCAAACCCCCCCCCCCCCCTTGGGCACGTCACTGCCTTGGACTGTGTCATCAAAAAATTGCGGAAGGAGCAGATTCGAGCATCGTATCATGAGTCTCACATTTGAATTGCATGATAAGTTTGGTCTATTTCCATGAATTTTGGATACTGCCTATAGTTTTCGCTCTCGTGGATTGAAATCAAACATTGTATGCATGGTAAATGGAATAGTGAGACCGCATGCACATGCACTTGCGAATTTGCATTTGAATATTTTTGCAACGGGAATGCGCGGAGAGGGCATCTCTCTCGGAGCACGACGAAGAGACGAGGCCTCGAGTCTCACTACTGTCGAATTTTAATTTCCTCATGTCGAAAAAGCTTTTCCCTAAAATCCGACATCCAGCACGGCGACACATTTCACCTTCCTTAGTCACGTTTCACTTCCGTTTGTTCATATTTGTCTTAGAAAAGCTATACCAGCCTTCGTCTCTGACGATCTCTTCATGCCACGGCTGAAAGGATCGATGTCAAAAGCAGGGCATCAACATCCATGATAACAAGATTTCATTAAGCAGGGTCTACTCGGACCCAGCCCGCTAGAGGCCTATGCGATATACGCCATATTGAAGTCGGGAATCGCATAGCGCGACGCCAGTGTGAACAAGAACATTTAGGTGCTGTGCTATTTTATGTCAGTCGTGTTATGCTATGCGGTTGGTGTGAACCTAGCTTCATTCGGTCATTGAGCAAAAGCGATAGAAATAGATCGATAGCGATGGAAAATGGGTCGTCGTTCACGATTCGAAAAATCGTCAGTGCCGAATTCGGACTTTATTCGCATTCAAGTGGAGATTTTCGCGCGAATGAAGGCCGCGTATTCGGCTGCGTGCCGTCTCATTTGCTTCTTCGTGACCCGGCATCTCGAGATTAATTGGCGGTAAATCATCGATCTCCCATCACGTGGTTTAAAGCCCGCCTCGACACCGGCAACGATGGACACGACGGAGAAATCGGCCAACGCGAGGCGATCCCCGGCACAAAACCCCCCCGACGCTTCGATGAACCCGCCCGATCGCTCCAATCTCTCCTTCGGGTCTTTCTCGGCCTCTTCCGATATCGATCTCGCGTTACCGTATATGACAGGCCTCTGCGAAAGGACGACGATCCTCGAGAACACGACTCGCTCGGAATCACGTGTGCATGCTCGTTGAAGAAATGTTCATACCGAACACGCCTTCCACTCGCCGATGTCAAAAATCCAGTCTCGAATCCACTACGGCTCGAGCATTCGGATCTTCGGGATATAGGGTCTCGTCCTTGCCGTATAAGTTGAAGAGATAACGCAATATCGCTCGGCTGTTCACGAGCGAATGATTGCTTTCTCAGGCACGAATGCGTCAGAGTGTCGTGGCCTTCATCAGTCTGCATATAGAATTTATAGACTTTACCTTTCGTAGAGGATGAAACCGTTGTCGTTCGCGGTGGGGATGCTGCGAAGGGGATTCATCTCGAGCAGACGCATCGTCGGTGAAGAGCATCCACACTGTGCGATATCGTTCCACGAATACGCTCACATCGTTAATGCCCCCGCTCACCTCGATTTACTCCGGGAATTTTCGTCGAGCCGGTCGACGGACTCGTCTCGATCGAGTTCCGCTCCGACGGCCTCGCGCGTCAGCGTCGCGGCGCGTCGCGGCGCGATGACTGGATGGCCTGGGATGTGTCGATTGGCATCGAATTCGATTGGCATCTCTGCACGAATTCGATTGCACGGTCGTTCGTTTTAGACATTGATCGTCGAGAGTCGTTGTTTAAATGTTGTCTACGAAAATATCGGTGCAGCACGTTCTGACTTCTCGGCTGTCGCGTGATACAGCTCGGACTCCGCAAAACAATGGGCGATCGAGTGAAAAAGAGGAACTTCTCTTACGATGAAGTAACTTACATCTCGCAAAGCTCGTCTAGGAGAATCTTGAGTCCATCTCCACATGGCACGAGAATAACCATGCTGAAAACTGGTGAGTTCTCGTTAACCTTACTCTGCATTTCGACGTGTTCTATCTGCGGTGACGCCAAGGATTCGTTTCGCACACACAGAGAAGTCGGAAAGTGAAAAATAGGTGTATTATCTGCACGTAATGAGTGCATAATGAGAACATCCGAGAATCGTGTGTGGATCCTGGTCAGCTAGTGACAACGTCAGTAAAAATCCCCTTCGATGGAATAGAAGCCTTTGCGGTCGATAAAATGTTGGTTGAGCGTTCTATTCTATATCTATCCACTTCCAAATCGGTATCTCTCGCGGAAGTTCTTATCGACATATTCTCGGAAGGGATCGTGCCTGGAACTGATGTTTATTTATTTGTCCCGTGCGACGCCGATACCGAGCCACTCCATAGAGATAACCCATCGTGTTTTTCCAGTACTCCGCGGCGCTTCCCTCGTTTATTGAAGGAAGAAAGCGTTCGTTTTGGCCTTGGCCATCGGTTAACCTATGGTTTCCCAAAAACACCGGGAAAACGTCGTTCGTGCAATCGGCCCTCGGTTTTTTCAAAGGTCAAGGTTGTTGATGTTTCATCGGAGAATTTCGGACGCAGGACCCAGAGTCGAGACTCATCCTCCCGAAACCGCGTATATTCACCGCTCGAGACACGATTCGACCCGAAGCTTCGAAGTCCGAGAAGCGTCTGCGGTGAAGACGCGGTCTGGCTTGTCTCTTGTCGTGCTGAGGGAGATTTAACGCGGGTCTTAATTTACGCGATTTTGCGATTACTGTCGTTTCGCGGACCGAATATATTCGTACTTTCCTGTTACCCGTTAGTGGATGTGTACAAGAGGGGATCGCGGAGATTCGTCTCTTATGTGCAGCTGCAAGTACAGTGTCGCAAAAGTGAATGCTCAGGGAGTTTTTTTCGCTTTGCAAGAGCGACGCTGGTGATATCTGATCCGTGGGGATAGCTGGCTTTTTCGTTTCCCCTTGAAACGAAATCGAAAACTAGAATCAACGACAAGAAGAGAATCCAGTCGGACAGGTGTTTTCGAGCCCTGATTTGGGGATTTCGCTTTCGTCTAGGTCGCGATGGTCTAATCCGGCAGCAAAAGAAACATTTGCCCAAGACGAAAAGATTTGGATTTTGAAAGCTAGCCGGTCAAAGAGACACGCGTCTGGTCTCCGGTGAGGCCGGATATATGCATTTCTCTGTGGCATTTCGATGCAAATGGTTTATGACGTACTTCGGGGTGGTCAGATGAAGGACGGCAACTTTCAGTCGGTCGAGAGAGATTCTTCGAGACGGTCACGTGCGATCTGTGGCGCCCCTTTTTTTGCTTTTCCGTTCTCATCACCTTAGTCGTCTGAATAATTTATCGGCATCATTATCGAACTATACGATCCCCCCCCCCCCCCCACCATGTCTGAGGCGAAGAGATTAAGTGATATTTTATGACCAAGGTTCATCTTGATCTGTCATATCGAAGCTCGAGGCGTGTCTAGACGTGGGATAAACTTTATTTGCTGCATCTCTGTGGCATCTCTTCGAAGGGTTTCATCCCTTTCTTGCACCTTTGCACATCTCTTCGAAGGGTTTCATCCCTTTCATGCACTCTTTCGCGTCTCTTTCTTGCCCCCATCAACAATGGAACGTTTTTCGTATTCGCTTAGGTCTCCCGACCACGTTGTCTGTCGTGCCAAAATGTGCCGTCTCTTCGTTACGACGTGAGTCGTGAGTCGTTGACTCGTCTCCTCTTCGAGTAGTCACGCGATTATTAGAAGTCGCGAAAGTACCGAATAGTGAGGATCGTATGGCCGAACGGTCCATCCTTATTAAATTTCTCACCCTCGTCTCTCCGATCGCCCACGGACTCCAAAATCGATAGGGTTCGATGCCCTCGAAGGTGGTTCGTACGTGACTGAGCCTCGCCCAGAAAACGTACTCGATGGTTAAGAGCTTGGCGTATTCCCAGCGTGGGTGGATGGTTATTCTCGTCGATTCGGTCGAGCACCGGGTTCCTGAGATTAGGAGATCGATGCATTTTGTCATCGGCGATGGTTTATTTTCGAAAACCTTCGTGTTTCCGGGACGTTCATCGGTGTCCGTAAAAAAAAAAGAAAAAAAAAGAGGCTTCGCTGGAATTGAGAGACTGCGACGGCGAAGGAAATTGCTTTCCTGCCGCGCAATCTTCAGATGTTTCGATGAGCTCGCATTCATATGGCTTCCCAGCGGGCCCACCCCCTTGCGTCCCTTCCATTACCTCTTTGTCTCTGTCAGTCCAAAGTTACCCCCCCCCCCCCCCAAAAAAAAAGAAACAGCAAGGATCCTGGGGGTATTCGGCCCTCCTCGCCACATTCCCTATCCCCGTCTCATTCCTTCTTGCCAGGGCGCGACTTAAAAATGATAGGAGGATCACGTCGATCACGTTTGGCTCAGCATCAAATGGGGCGAACGATTCCGGCCGATTTTCTCTTTCAAAAAATAAATAATACCTCACCGCTCGGTATAATAATTTTTTAAAAGGTGTATAAATGGCTCCTAGCAACTATAGAAGAAAGAGAACGCAAATGCGCATCGTCTTACCCTGAGCGCGACTTAAATACTCACTCATTACTTATAAATTCCCAAATTCAGCAGAGTAAGCACGTATGCATGAATAGCCGGCTGAGTTTTATTTTTAGGTATGTTGTACTTGAAGAACAATCTTCATGTAACTCTTGTCTTTGCTGTGAATTTTGAAAATACTCCTTCGCAGATAGAGGCGATGCAGCAATAAGTCTAATAAGGCGACTTATTTCTTTTTCTTTCTTTCACTTAATGTAATGAAGGTATCCATTTTCGACATCGAAAAAAACTCCGAAGTGTATGGAATTCAGAAACTCTTTTAAGTCTGTCGAATCTTGTTCACTTCAAAAGTAACTAAAAAGCATATATGTTACAGCCAGAGCGTAAGATCCAGGAAATGTACAGAAAACCTGGGTACTCTATATGGAATGTCTGATTTCATACTCTGCCTGTGACGTCAGTCACTTCTGAGTCACACCCTGTATATTAGACTCCGTCGCATTTCTAAATTGTGAGGATAGATCGGTCGATACGGATCCAAGACATCGCTGAAGTCTTGCACGCTAGTTTCCTTGTCACCTTGGGCTCATTTATAAACGTGGGTTCGGCTCGGAGAGAAATCTCGAATAATTTAAGAAAAGTAAACACGAATGGAAAAAACTCCGGTCGCATGTGACCATGTGGCCTTTCGGATAAAATAGGTTTCACGTGACTTAGTTATATATAAGACTAACTGCAACGTGTAATTAGTTAATTTAAAAAAGTAACTCACATCCTACATTCCTTCATTCATCCAGCCTCAGACAGCGCAGGAAGTTTTTCTACGTCAGTTTTACGATTGAATTTTTTTTTTTTTTTTTTTTTTACCGGTATCAACTTTCTACGTACCCTCCTGTAATATCAACTATATATGCGACGTGGAAGTGGTTGGGGTTGGGGTTGGGGACCCCTTTGACACCGACAGTGCTAGCTCATCGGCAGGGCTACAACGATCTTCCTCTCTTTCTTGATGGACGGAAACGTAACAATTGTGAAGAAAATTTGAATCGCTCTCTTTTCATGGGTTTATCCAGACCAGAAGGTGATCGACAGAGGGCATCAAGCAGACATCTTATCGCGAAGGAACCGGGCAGAGAATTCGGCCGCTTTCCCGTTGACTTCCTCGTAACCCGGCATTTCCGTCTTGCATCTGGCCAGCCACGCGCGCAGGTGTCTCATCTCGGACAGGTCCACGACCTCGAGCAGCTTAAAAAAAAAAAAAAAATCATCGCGATCACCGCGGGACTCGATCGGTCGACGCGATTCCCTGAAGCCTGACCTCCGCGCTGGAAACGGTGGGGACGATGGAGAAGTCCGCAAGAGTGAGGTGCCTCCCGGCGCAATACCCGCCGGATGCTTCGATGAATCCGTCCAAGATCTTCAGAGTCTCCTTCAGGTCCTTCTTGGCTTCTTCCGAGATCGATTTTTCGTTCCTGTAGACGATCGGCCACTAGGAGGAGGAAAAAGGTGTCCTCATGAGATTTCCTTTTCGAATCTGACTTTCGTTCGTATCTTCCTCACCACGCACGCTCTCCACTTCCCGACGAGAATCCCAATGTCGAAGTCCAAGCGTTGATCGACGATGGCTCGGGCCTTCGGATCCTTCGGGTACAAAGACTCGTCCTTTCCGTATACGTTGAACAAATAGCGCAAAATCGCCCGACTGGTTAAAGAAAACAGCAAAATAACATTTTATGCTTTGGGGGTACCGTTATGACCATCGAAGCCTGCTTACTAAATCGAATAAAGTGAAAAATAACTTTTTATTCGTCCTAATGAAGGTAGAAGAGAATCGTCAATACGCAAACTCGAAGTATACTCGAACTAAAAGAACTTAATATTCGTCATCACGTTCCTACGAGATGTGTATATATTGCCGTTGTTAACCTCGCTCGTGGGGATTTATTAACCCTTGAGCTTTCAGGGAAGTTGCTGACCATTGCACGTAGACCTGCTCTCAAGCATTGTCGTGTTCTTGTATTGCCCGGGGAAAACAGCCAGATTACATATTATTAATCTCTATTAAGTTTGATCCCCGTCTGCATTACTGGTGACACGGAGTGGTGACACGATGCGTTTTCAAAAGCGAGCGGAGGAAGGGCGTGGTCTTCTCAAGATGCAGAAAAGAGAGATCTCAGGTTTTCTCCAATTTTTGCTTTTGCCCTGTGTTCTCAGAATTCAATTTCTGAACGAGTCGCGAGGTTTAATCTCGAATAAGGACATTTGATTGTTCCCATGAACAAAAGCGGGAATATCGGTTTCACCCTCTTGGAAATCTGGATTTATATATATTTAGAAAGAGAAATTGAGGGTGCTATGAGTTTAATTTATTAAATTTAGCAGAGTGGGTAACACGACTCCTGAGTAAAGAAGAGGTTCGTAAAAAAAAAACTGTCAAACTCATTAGCGATTTTGTTTTTCCGCTAGGGCTTCCCGTTTCAAAAACTTTCCAAAAACAAAAAACAAGAAAAAAACGAGAGCAAGTCATAAGATGAAATTCGGTAGAGAAGGATAGGATGTGAACGACGAAAACGTTTGTTTCAAAATGTTCAACGGTAAAGAGTCGGGAAATTTTTGGAGGCTGCACTCTTATTTAATATTTGTTGCGTGAGCTGCGGTGGGCAGGGACCATTAATGGCTGCGTGGAGGCTCGCCTGCTTCGTGAATGCCTCCCTAAATCCTCTAGTCTCGGACGGGACGCAATCATCCTCCTTCCACGGAAGGCTGAGCCGAGGAAGACCATTTTTCATTGGCTATTGGATCGGAAGAAATCCTTTGAGGCCGTAAGCTCGTCTCACTAGCAGAAAATGGGAAACCTTTGCGGTATATATACTGTATATATTCTTTTTTTTTTTTCAGTACGTCTTTCCCTTCTCTGTGCAGATGTTTCCGGTCTCCTTTCGCCCGTGTCGTCTGGGATGACCATAAGTGTTTTTTCGCGTCAGCAGTTCTATTCTTCTTATTACCTCGCGTGATTCAATCGTTCAGAGGTTTACCTTAAATACTTTTATAGTCATCTTCTTGATGAAAAACGAACAATCGAATAAAATAGAACTTGTTATTCCAGGGGACGGTCCTATTTCACATTTAGGGCTGGCTGAATAGGGGAAAATTTCCTATCGATTCCCATTAGACACAGTGCGGTAAGTGAAAATTAAGGTATTTTGTCCTACCCTTTATCTGATTACCTTTCATAGAGAACGAATCCGTCGTCGTTGATCGTGGGAATGGTGTGCAGGGGATTCATCTGTTTCAGATAAGCACGATGCGTCGATATCTCTCGGCAACAAAGTGTCAGTCGAAACAACGAACCCAGTCATACATAAATACCTTGAGAAATTCTTGAGTCCCCTCGAACGGATCCATCTCGACGAGGTTCAACTCGACTCCCACTCGCTTCCCCATCAGCCTCACGCTTCGGCATGGAGGGCTCGTCAGCAGGTAATACAGGTCGATCGGCATCTGGAAAGGGATTTCAGTCGATGCGAAGCCTTCACCCGTGCGTGGGCGTTTGCCATCGCGTGATTGATGAATCCCTATAACCGCAATTCTTGGAAGAGATATGCTTCAAAATGAAATCTTCCTTGAATGATAGCGTAGGATCACGCATAAGCAGACATATAATCACATGACTGACGATCGTCGTATGATTATCATGATCGTCTCGGGTGTTCCATACGACGAGGTAGAGCCAGTGCGTAGTTGAGCTCCAGCATTACTCATCTATTCATCTCTAATAAATATTTAGTCTATTATGAGAACATTCATGAAGTCAAATAAATGTTCCCCGCATTTATCCTTCCGTAGGATCATTCATCTCGAGATGAGTCGAACCGAGATTTTGAGCTCGGCCCGTTTCAGTCTTATTCGCGTCCCTCATTTTCCGGTCAGTCGACAAAAAAGTTTTTTTTTTTCTCAGACCCAGATATTTCGACAGACAATTTGCTTTCATTTTCACAGAGCCTGGAGCGCTTCCCATGTCACTTTATTTATTTTTTTTTAATATCCATGCATGTCGTGCAAAATCCCCAAGCGACTTAAGAGCAGTGTTGGGCGCGTTACTTTTGAAAAGTAACTAGTTACAATTACAAGTATGACATCCAAAAAGTAATTAGTTACCAGTAGAATTACTTCTCACCAAAAGTAACTAGTTACAAGTAGAAGTTACTTTTTAAGTTACTTTTCCTTAACAAAAATTCCGGTCTTTCTACAGCTTCTCCACTTCTTCTACAGAAGCTGGATGCATGGACTGAAAGTGAAAATTACCCCTGATTTCGCGAAAATTGAATTATAATCATCACTTAACGGGATAAATACTCATGCTCACTCTTTTCCTGTGCCTCTTCCCTTTCTATGGGCTACTTAACAGGAATTATACGCCGATAGACAGAATGCACCCTTTAGTTNTAACGCGTTACTTTTACTTCGTTACCGCCCAACACTGCTTAAGAGTATGACTGAAGAGAGCAGTACGTTTCCTTTCCCCACGTACGAGGGGCCGGGAAGGTAGGGGGGGGGGGGAGACCAATACATGCAGTGCGGACTGTAGGCCGGCTCGCTCATGTTTACATTTTCAGCCGAAAGGAGATCATCTAGCTTTAAGACTACCATGGAATGCAGGGGAGAGACGTCGGTCTAGACGATCCAGAGCGCACGAAAACAGAAAAGACGGAAACTGAACTCCTGTAGCTCACAGCGGAAGCATTCGGTTCCCACTCCGCTTCGAGTCGTAGAAGGGCGTGGCTCTGGCGAATCTCTCGCCCTTCCCTCCTTGTTTTTTCATCTTCTCCGGCCTTGTCTGCTTCGACGGATCCCCTCATCAGTTGAAATGCGTTCGGCACGAAATTCCGACTTTATTCTCGAGTGGAATGAGGCCAATTAATTTTAATTTTAGGTCGATGGAATGCACTGTGCGAGAATGCACCTGTACCTTTACCGTTTGCTTACAACTGATCGTTTATCTCAATTTTAGCATTTTGTCGATCGTATCCTGCAATTAATAGTGGTTCGATAATTTATCTTACATGTTTCTTTTTTTTTACGGCTTTAAAATCTCACCTTAATATCAATAGTGGTGTCACCCACTATTTAAAGGGCGTTTCACACTTAGTGTGTCATGCGTCCATAGGGTCAAATGCTTGTGAAAGGTCTGCCTACCGCATGTCCACTTTAATCCACTTTAATCTACTCGCACGTCCACTTTAATCCAAGGGTTTCCACAAAACTTGGGCTTGCGTGTGGAAATGGGATGAGTTCGATCGAAAACGCAAGCCTAGCGTTTTTGTGCAAACCTTCGATGTAAGTGGACGCGCGTGCGTCTGCCGACCTCGACGAGCGTTGACGCAAGGGACGCATGACACGCAGTGTGAAACGCCCTTAAGTCTTTTTCACACGACGCTGGGGCTGGGGCTGCTGCCCCGGGGCGGACCTTAATGATCTTAGCAGACGAGCTTTGAAACCTGACTACGTCCAGACAGCTCCACCGATCCGTATCCGATTGCATTCACAAAGCATTCGCTCTGTATCCACGCCCCGGAGCAAGAAGGGGGAGCGAGGGGGAAGCTTGGCTTGGCTTGGCTTGGCTCTGGGGTGGAGCCGTGTGAACAAGGCGTATAGTCAGAGGCGGCGATTAAAGGGGGGGGGGGGGGTTCAAAGGGGGCGAGGGGGACCTCAGCAAAAAATTAGGCAATTAGGCAGAAGGGGCGCAGCCCCCACAACAGTTTATGAAAAAAGTATTTTATTTAGTTTTCTTCGTTTTATTGAGCATGAGGATTTTAGTTTAGGAAACTAAGATCATCTCATCTGCCCTCACAGTTTGTAACGCGAAAATGGGATGTGAAGTATGGTCTAGCCTCGGCGGTTTGACACGCATACCCAACATCACGCGATCTTCACCGCCCCTGTGAAAGATCTTGTCAGCACTTGGCAATGGGCACGAGATACGAATCGTGCGAGCGTGATTCATCCCTCCAGACTCGATGGGAGGAAGTCGAGACGGATGTGTCGGCTTATTCTCGGGGCGTTCTTGTGTGGCCAAGCCATGCCATGGTTCAAGACATAAGCGTAGTGTGGATGGAAATGGAAAAGGTGGAGGGCACGGGACATAAGGGGGGGGGGGGGGGGGGGGGGGCGGGGGGGG